TAATCTATCCTTAGTTCGGTGTTTTAGTAATGGTTGTTTGGTTAAGAAGCCAGAATTAGATTAGTACCATCGATCAAATGATGCCAACAGGTCAATATTAAATAAAAAGTAGAAATATCATCTCTACTTACAAATCAACGTCAACACATAAACATGTATGCAACTTGAAAACGTTTCACTTCTTTATGTGAAGTAACTGTTTTGCAATTCATACAACAGTATTTAAGAAGGTCATTAAACAAATCAACAGAAAAAAAGTACCAATACGAATTAGTTACTGAGGGGTAATGGATATTATTATTATTATTATTATTATTATTATTATTATTATTATTATTAGTCCCTTGGGTTCCTAGTGGAACATAGGGCTTCAGTAGCACGCCTCCAGTGACCTCTGTTCTCTGAGATCTTTTGAACCTGGTCCCACGACAGCCCACAACCTCTCATTTCCTCCTCGCACGACCTCCTCCATGTCACCCTCACCTCGGACGTCCAACTCGTCGCTTCCCATGGGGATTCCACTCGAGGGCCTGACGCGTGATGTCCTCAGTCGGCCTTCTCAGTGCATGCCCAATCCATCTCCACTTCCTCCTGCATATTTGTTGAGTGATAGGTTCTTGGTTGCTTCGTTCCCAGAGCTCCTTATTGCTTATTCTTTCTGGCCATCTGATCTTCAGTAGCGAGCGTAAGCAGTTGTTGATGAATGTCTGTAGTTTATTGGAAATGCCTTTCGTGACGCGCCAAGTCTCTGAGCCATACAAGAGCACTGACTTGACGTTGGTGTTGAAAATCCGTATCTTGTTCCGCATGCTGAGTGCAGAAGATCTCCACACTGGTTTCAGGCTAATGAACGCCTGTCTTGCTTTTCCAATTCTGACTTTGACATCCTCGTCCGTCCCACCTGTAGTTGAAACAATGCTTCCTAGATAAGTGAAGGAGGTTACTTCCTTTAAGTTTCTCCCGTTGACGGTGATTGGAGTTTGTTGTTGTTGTTGATGGTGGTGGTGCGGTATCTTCATCACTTCTGTCTTCTCTATATTCACCTGAAGTCCCGTCTTCGCTGCCTTGCCTCTTCTATCAACTTGTTAGTTTTTGCCTGCAGATCTTCAAGTTTATGTGACATTAGGCACAAGTCATCGGCGAAATCCAAGTCTTCTAGGTTTTTTTCCGTCGTCCAGCGTATCCCCCTCTTCTCGCTGCCTTCTGTTTGCTGCATGATCCAGTCGACCACAATCACGAATATCATGGGGGATAGTAGGCAACCTTGTTTCACTCCTGTCTCCACTTCACTTCAAAAGCATCACTGAGCTTCCCATTGTGAATTACTCGGCATGTGGCATCTTCATATAGTTGTTGAATGAGGCGGATAAAGGTTAGCGGTACTCCGTAGTATTGAAGCAGTTTCCAAATTACTTCTCGGTCGACGCTGTCAAAGGCCTTCTCAAAGTCGATGAAGTTGAGGCAGAGAGCTGATTGCTAGGTAATGGATATATACCAGTCTAATGTATCATTTTGTATGTCCGAATAAAGATGTCTAGGGGACATTGCACTTCATAGATTAGTACAATATCTTGTTCTCACCATTCTAGGCTTTTTCTAACTCAATTGCACACAAGTTAATCTTACTGACAACCTAAATAATAGTTGTTGAAATCACCTCAACTGATGAATATTTCCAGTCGTATAACAACTGACTTGTTCTCTAACAAAATGGAAGTGATGTTCCGAAAAGATATGTAGTCAAATACTTGAAATCTTCTCATACTCATCAACATATATAATCAAATATCATAATGATTAATCAGAGTAGGGTAAAATGTTGTGCCCAACAACAGAAAGGGGCAGCGAAAATAGGAATTCAAGTGAATGTAGAGAAGACAGAGGTGATGAAGATACCCAACCAACACTACCACCAACAACAACAAGCTACAGTCACCATTAACAGGAGAAACCTAAAAGAAGTTGTCTCTTTCACCTACCTAGACAACATCGTTTCAACTACAGGTGGCACAGATGAAGATGTCAAAACCAGGATCCGGAAAGAAAGACAGGATTTCACTAATCTGAAATCAGTATGGAGATCTACTACACTCAACATAAAGTGTGAACAATATCCAGATTTTCAACACTAATGTCATTCAAGTAAGTCAGTGCTTCTATGTGATGGTTGAGAGACTTGGTGTGTCACGGAAAGCATTTTCAACAAACTACAGACATTCATCAACAGCTGCTGCCTACTCAGGCTCGATACTGAAGATCGGATGGCCAGAAAGAATAAGCAATAAGGAACTCACTGTGGTTGGGTGGCAACGAAGCAAGAACCTATCGCTCAGCAAATATGCAGAAGTGAAGATGGATTGGATTTGTCATACAGTGAGAAGGTCGACTGGGGACATCATGCGCCAGGCCAGGCCATGCCCTCGAGTGGAATCCAAATGGGAAACAACGAGTTGGGCGTCCGAGGTGGGGGTGCCATGGAGGAGATTGTGTGAGGAGTAAATGAAAGGTTATGATCGATTAAACAACCCTGCTCAGAGAACACAATACAACCAAGACCATCCACCTGAGCTACAAATATTCTCCATCATTTCAAGTTCTTATTTAGAAGGGCAGAAACATATTCCAAAGGATTTTTGATTTCTCATACAAAGCGTTCAGTTAACTCTGCATCTCACTAGAGTTTTTACTTGAAGGAACTATAAAATATCTAGCCCCATTGATGAATTTAAACAGTATGATTAGAAGATGAGGATTTTCTGAAACATGTGATGTATTTGGGTTAGTAGATTTCGAACAATTTCATCATAAAAACAAGAAATTTGATCAGATCCCCATAACCAGTAGTATGAAGGATTGAATGTAATACTATCAGGATGGGTGTAATAAAAGTACAAATTATTTTTGAATATATAAATAGGGTTTTAATTTCTGGATAACAAGAGCTTTGATAAATCGAAGTATTCATTCCTTGACTATATCTGTACAATTCAATAGAGTCTATCTTCATATTAATCTCATTAACGACCGATGAGAAAGGAGGATTGTCATTAGCACTTATCAAAATATTTCTGGAGCAACCTGGGTACATGTTCAACCATGCTCAGCTATATATTACGATTATGCCTACCTATGCATGTAAATTGATAGACACAATGGAATGATGTTACATTCTCGTTCAAATATTGTTCAGGTTTGCTCTAAAGAATAAGCTTTGTTTTCTCCACTAAAACGACCCTAACTATTAGTAGTCAGAATCATATGTTTACCAGTGATTTATATATACAGGTTGTTCGGATGGACAACCTTTTATACAATGTAACACAAAGTACTAACGATGGACAGTGGCTGGCAGAGGAACCCAGATTGACTTACGTTTTGTCCCGTTTAGGACTCATCAAATGAATGTACCTGTCTCCCAGTGAACGATGTTATTTCCAGCAGAACTCGGGATTGATTGTTTCAAATGCCAAGGCGGTCCATTCGTCGACGGAATAATACAAGCAACAACGTTAAGACTATACGCATCATACAAAAAGTGGCTATGGTGACTCCATGGTCTAGTGGATAATCCTTCAGCTATTAAAACAATCCGTCTCGAATTCGATTCTTAGTGGGAACAACATCGTTCACTGAGAGGCAGGTACATCCATCTGATGAGTCTCAAATGGAACGAAACGCATCAAGCTGGATTCCACTGCTAGCCAATATTCATCATTAATATATAATTCAAACACAGGCAATATCGAGACATTCGTGTAGGAGCCCATATTTCGATGGAGACCGATCAATTTGGTCCACTCAACAACAGGATAATACAAAGAACAACATTTTAAGACGAAGTATTTAGTACGTTGACGAATTGAAATGATAAAGACACACTACAGTATCTAAATACAACGTGATAAAGTGTGTACTATTTTTTGATATTCTCGAAATTCGTATCCCATACATATGACAAGCATTCAACGACTTGTAATAAATGATTGTGGAACAGATGATGAAGCGATACGAAACTGTATTCCCTTGGAACGCATAACATGACCGAGATAATGCGTTTAATTACCTTATGAATCTGTGTACTTGGTTGGAAAGGAATACGGATACAAGCATAACTCGTTAATCCACGTAAATTTTCAGTTTCTTTACGATTATTCATAAATCACCAAGGCCTTTCTACAGATGTATTCATTGAATTAAATTCTTAGTGTTTAACATTTGTTTAAACGTACTGTTATTGTATGGTGTATTTTCCATCAATACAGATTTGTAAATGACTGCAAAAACCAAGACTATCAATCATTGAAAAGTTAACTGAGAAATATCTTATTTCATCTAAAATAAACTTACTTAGTTATTTCAGTAGTTGCCAGAGTAGCCCTTAAGGTTTCATTGAAGTTAATTCTGTCCATTTCTACGGCTGTGATACATAGCCGTTGAAAGTAGAAGATATGAAGCAGTTACAGGTTTTCAATCACTGGCGTCTACGTAGCATTTCTCGCATTTGATGGAATCACCACTGTGAGTTATGTTTTAGGTCCGATAAAGGAACGCAAGTCAATCAATGAGGTTGTGAACCTTTTTAGTTGATTGAGATGGTCTGTACAAGTACAGCACATGCCAATCCACTGCCTATCTAAACATGAAAGTAAGTAAGTAGGGAGAAGTAAGATTAGGTTGTAAGGTGGTTTAGGGTGGTCATATCAAAACATCGCACCAGAGTATGAAGTCTTTGAACGTTAGCCTGAACCGTATGATTAGACGTACAGTACCTAGATGGCTGGGGTCCTTGAGACGATAGGAGTCAGTGGTTGAGGACACTTAGTGACTTGAATGAAAATCGGAGCTGGAATATTTGTATTAACCTTTATCTCTAAATTGTTTATTCACTCACACAACTTTGTCTACTTGGATATCCACAGTTTTCCGTTTTAAAGCCATAATATACTTTTTGTTTAAATCGATATAACTTCATCTAATGCTCATATTTTCTTTTCTGTTAGTGTATACAAAGTGATCCATGCCGTCCAGGACGACAAGTTCGTCAATTATCTTGTATTTCTATACAAGCAAATGGATCATTACGTGAATTACCAATGGCAGCTTGTTATATGAATGGGAAAGCAATTCATCCAACATGGCGTCGATGTTTTGAAGAAAGTTCAAGAAAATGCGATAGTAAACCACCAATGATCAATACAGACACTTTGACTATTGTTCAAATGAGAAAAGTAAATCATTCTCCCTTTTTATTCCTTACATTTCTCTTTCTAACTATTATGGTCTTTTGAGTAGAATTCCTCAAAACTATGCTCACATTTAAACAATAAATGTAAGTAGTCGAAATTAGATATTTAGTTAGCGTTAGCTTAACTACTATGATTCGTAAACCATGTATGTTTAGTTCAATTTGAGGGTTTATGAGAATTTATTGATTTCAAGTTGATATTCATCATAGACTGACGTCAGCTGGAAGAACATTGGAAATATGGGAGCATTGGACAACTGTTTCACCCTAGTATAGGACTCTTTAACAGTACGACGCACCTATGACCCCTTCCACTAGAGATCGAACCCAGGGTCTTCAGGTTCCGTGACCAGCTACTGGGTTGGAATGCTTACGCTTCGACCTCAACATTACTTTATTAGCTAGCTATAGTGTTTCGTCTGTGATATGTTTACTTCACCGTATTCCACAGTCAATTACACTACAGGAAAAAGTGATGATCGTTTACACGTCAGTTGCTTGTGTGCTTCAGATTAATTAGGAACTTCTTCGGTTTTCCTGAATGTATAGCCCCCACAAATAACAGAATAGATATGAAACACCTCTAGAAGTAACTTAGTGTATGCTAAGAAAATTCTATTCAATACCTAGCTAAGGAGGTCTACCAACACTAAGATACGAATATTATATTATGATCATATTATATGACTATGAAACATGGTCATTAAACGTAGAGAACATAAGTTAACTTCGAGTGTTCGACCCCTATCGCCTTTGTAGCATAAGCCATGTCTTGTGTTGCCACGAAATTAGTTATATAAAAGTTAAGTGTAGAGTTCTGGAGAAAAGAGAAGCGTTAGTTGGTGTGGTTAATGACCCTTATTAGCCCTGGTGACTGGTGTAACGCAGGTTTAGTCTGTGTCTACTTTTGTCGCACATTGTTGACTGAAGTAGGCTTAAGCAAGAAAACCGTTAGAAGTGGTCAAACTAAAAAAAGGTATCAGTTCATGAAGTTTCTGACTTTTGTTTAGAATCGTGTAGAGAAACGTCTATCTACCGGTCGGCAACGGTATAAGAACAGAAATCGTTAGTTAGTACATATTTATCTACACATTATCTTCATCTTGTTCATCATGCAATACATTGCCAGATCCCATGACGATAGTGACCGACATTCCCTAATACACTTAAGATGTAGTTCTCATCGCTGACATGTCTCGAGATGAGACTTCTTCAAGTTCTTTATACATAATGGTGACCGATAGGGTAAATCAGGTTGAATGTTAGCACAAATACTCAACGATGTCATTGATTAGAGGTCGTGAAATGATGAAAGTATGAAAATGTGTATTGGATTCTGACCCAATAACGCTCAGTGGTAACGCGCTGCCCATGAAACCCTGAGTTTTTCGGTTCGTACTGACAAGGTGTTCCACACTCAGGCGAAATAACTATCCGTTGCTTCAAAGTTATTTTTTATTTATAAAACAGAGAATCATTTCAGAAGTATCATTTACTTAGGGATTCAGTTTCAAAAACCATTAAAGCATTTATTAACCACTATTCTACAATTCTTATTGCTTGACACTCACTTATTGTTATGCTGGATTGAAATGATCCATCTCTATTGCCCAACAGGCTTCTTTGTAGATACTTTAAGACTCATTTGTTTGATGGCGGTTAGCAATGGAATCTAGAACCGATGTTTCGTCCGAATTGTGACTCGTCAGTCGTGGTATTTGAAGTAGTGGGTGGCAGATTAGAATCTTGGTAGGACGAAACATGTGTTCTAGATTCCAGTGATAGCCACTACGAAACGAATCATACTATTCTATATGTTTATAATCAACGTACACAGGACTAATCAAGGTCAATCGATCGCATTAAAAAACTGATTTTGATTACTGAGATGGTACGTCTAAGACACGATTTCAAAATAAATAAATACTCCATTTCTCCGATGAAACGAAGATGAGACAGCAAGCGATAATAATTAACGATTGAAAAGTCGACAGTCAAAACGATTCAACTCGAGTGATTAGCAGACGGAAATCAAAAGACTGATATTCAACTGAGTTTATAATATCTCAAACTAGAAACGTTTACTATTAGAGATGAACGCAATATTTAAAAATCACAATGACCTTTAATGAAGAAGAGTGATTGATGAATTAAAAGAGACAGGAACCAATCAAAACACTAGCGGGTTATATAAAATGTGAAGCACTTACGAGAAAAAATAGAGCGCACAAAGAATATATATGCATTCCTAATAATTTCATACTACTTCCACCATTCAATATTTAGATGCCTGTATAACTAACTTTCATATTTTATTTTAGGTAAAAGTGATCGACTTGAAAGTTGGTCAACAAGCATTCGTAATACCATATACTCGTGTAACTGTACGATGTCCTGTACAATACTTTACAGCACAAGAATTACAATGGGCTAATCAAAATCATGGGATATTAGCTTATACAGGAGCAGTTTCAGATCGTATAAGAGTGGATAAACGTGGTCGATTGCATATAAGAAGCTTTCGTCTTATTGATGAAGGTGATTGGACATGTATAGCTGGGACAATGAATGCAACAGTTACATTAACAGCTAGAACTCCAGCAGCAGGATTTTATGATTGGGTACAAAGGAATAGACTATGGACAAAAGGTATGCTTAGTGATGATCCTAAAGCGATAGCTGTAAATCATGAAATTATCCAATGGGTTGTTGGACCATGGAGTACATGTTCAACTAGCTGCGGTGAAGCAGGACAACAATTTCGTGTGGTAAGATGTGAAAAAGTTGACAGTCGATTCTATCAAATACTAAATGACCAAGTATGTAACGATAAATTACTGCCAAAACCGCCAAGTGCAAGAAAATGTTTAGAGAGTAATAAGTGTCCGATATGGGTTGTTGAGAACCGTGATTTGTCCACTGTAAGTTAATTCTTTTGTCTTAACAGTCACATTGATTATTGTTTGTTTTTTCTAATTTATAAACTAGTTAAACTTTCAATAAAAGTTCCTCTGGTGAATAACTAGTCAGATGATAGAGGGTCATGGTTACTTGATTTTAGTATTCCAGATACAAACAACTATACACATAGATATTTTCAGACAGATCCAATCTTTTGATGGTATTGTATTATGTGGGCAGGATGATTTAATCGCAGAATTTTCATTGCCTTGCTAGTCATCATCAGCACTAACTTCAATACGTAGTAAACTACCAATAAACCTGAGGAAGCGGTCTATGATTAGTTGTTTCCTTTGATTGTTGTGTCATTGAGGGTATAGATTCGTCTGTTGGCTTTTTCTCTGCTTAACCTCTGACCTTTCACTTGTTTATCATTTTTTTCTTACTGATTGGTAGATTAGGTCAATGTCTATACATCTATTAATTACTGACTGACCTAAATGCCAAGCTACTAGGAATTCTCTGATATTCTGTTCAAGATTATCAGGATTCAATTCATGTCCATAGTTATCCATGTGCGTTGAAATGAATGATAAAAAGTTGTGATGTTTAATAGCCGCCAATTGGTGTTCATATAGACGAAGGCGAAGAGGACGACCACTTTGTCTAATGAAATGTAGATCACAATTATTGAAGTCCATTTTGTAAATGATATTTGGTTTGTCTTCTTCGATTGTTGCGCCCTTTCGTCTGCATAATAGTGTTTGGAAGGAATTTGTTGGTTTATAAGACACACCAATTCTTTATGTACGGTAGGATGATCAAGTAATTTCCTTAGTTTCTCCGTATTGTTGTAGTTCAGTGCGTTCCCGCTCTTTTGAATAGAGTGCGTTAGCAACTAATTGTGTGCTCCGACTTCCTGTATAGATCAGTTTCCCCTTAAAATTTCGTATTCAGCTGGTAAAAGTTAATCCCTGGAAATAAATCTTAATGCAATAAAATGTATTGCATGTTACTTAGAACTTTGTAGATGACGCATTGATCGAAATTTCACACCAGTAGTTGGAAGTAGAGGGCATAAAACAAAGAACCACAGTTACAAACATCACCCAAACCAATCTTTTTAGTTATCCTATGAGAATGTGATACATTTACGACGTATAGTAAAAGAATTCATACTGCACTAATTACAAAGTAGTCCATTGGGTTCCTAGTGGAACACAGGGCTTCAATAGTACGTCACAATTTCACTCTCTTCTCTGCATTCTTTTCAACCTGGCTAAACAACTCCCCATAACATTTCACTTACTCATCACACCATCTCCTCCATGTCACATTCGCTCAGACACCCAACTCGTCGTTTCCCATTTCAATTCCACTCGACCGCCTGGCCTCATGCGTGATGTCCCCAATCAGCATTCTCACTGTATGACAAATCCAATCCATCTACACTTGATTCTCCTCCATATTTGTTGACCGATAGGTTCTTGCTTCCTTGGTTCGTTGCCACCCAGCCACAGTGAGTTCCTTGTTGCTTACTTTTAATATTCTGACCATCTGATCTTCAGTATCGAGCCTGAGTAGGCAGCAGCTGTTGATGTATGTCTGTAGTTTGTTGAAAATGCTTTCCGTGACACACCAAATCTCTCAACCATCACATAGAAGCACTGACTTACTTGAATGACATTAGTGTTGAAAATCTAGATATTGTTCACACTTTATGTTGAGTGCAGTAGATCTCCATACTGATTTCAGATTAGTGAAATCCTGTCTTTCTTTTCGGATCCTGGTTTTGACATCTTCATCTGTGCCACCTGTAGTTGAAACGATGTTGTCTAGGTAGGTGAAAGAGACAACTTCCTTTAGGTTTCTCCCGTTGATGGTGACTGCAGCTTATTGTTGTTGGTGGTAGTGTTGGTTGGGTATCTTCATCACCTCTGTCAAAGAGAGCTACTTAAGGATTCTATAAAATTTAGTCCATGAAATTGTGATGGTATTGTGTTCTCCGAGAAGAACAATTTAATCGTCTAGAATGACAATGAAAGCTTCATGAATTAATTATCCAGCTCGGAAAAGACAACACGATCAAAATTATCCTTTTGAAATACAAGTATTCTCCATCATCTCAAAATGCTATAAGCATCAAACAGTTCTTATTGTATGGAAAAGGGAGAACTTCTCCATGAGGTAAGCTTCTACAAAAGAAAAGCCATAAAAAAATAATGGAAGTTAACTTGACTTAAAAAATGTAATTCAACCCTTTACATATGTATATTCGAGGCAATAAGCCACAGTTTTTGTACTACAGCTTACTATACTACTCGGTTACTCTAACCGACTTATATAACGCGAGATTTGAACCCGTAATACATTGCCTTAAAGTTGAGTGCTTAGACTAATGAGTAACTCACTAACTGAGTATCTCAGGATGAGTTACAAATAACCTCAATAATAAAATTCAAAATCCATTAAGCAACCCAGCTCAGAGAACACAATACAATCAAGTACATGAACCATATTTATTGTGTAGGACCTAATGCTACTCTACCTGACTGTCTAGATCTCAGTCACTGGGACGGGATTTGAACTCATGATCCACTAGATGAAAGTTCAACGTGAAAACCAAAAAACGTGAAAATTCAACTCTATCCTTTTCTTCAATTTACGATATGAATAACAATAGAAATTATTTCTATGATATGAATTTCGATTTAGAAAAACTAGTGAACGATGTAAATGTTTATGAAGTCGCTTATCTTGACAATGAAACATCTAAGAAAGAACCTGAAATCTCGGAGTAAACCAAACAATTATCATCCTTATTTTAAGTTATGAATCTCCTTTACTATCTCAAAAACATTCCACCCCACAATAAAAAGTTATGTATAGTACTTTCTGAATGTATAATAAGAATTGATCGGTTTGACTTAGTATATGGAATTTTACATGGATTGACGAATACTGGCTACCAATGGAATCCAGGACGAGGGTTTGGTCATATTTATGACTTGTCAACTGAATCCAATAAGAATCGCACCTAAGGCCGATTGCTCCAAAACACCAGACCACTGTCAACTAGGCTATTGGATCACGATAGCTTCTCTTTGTGCGACGGGTATACTTTTTTGTTGTTATCGTTTATAATCTTCCCTCATTGATTAGACCGAAACGATTGGTCTCTACCATATTCCAAGTAGGACGAAACACATGTCCTAGATCTCACTGCTATCCAGTATTCAACATTACTGCATCATATAGTAGTAGCAAAATCGATTATAGGTTAAAATCATCTGTAAGTGATTTGAAATAGATTAGGCGAATCTAGTCAACTTTTATGCATAGTATGAACGCTTTAGTTAAATGTTTGTAATTATGAGTTTGAGTATCTGAGACAGCTGGGCTTTGACAGACTTGTATTGAAAACATTTCAGTAGATTTCTTCAAATAAAACTAACATATAAAGTGAAATTATGTGTATAATTGATTTCTTTGCAATATTTCAAGTGTACAGATCATTGTTTAAATGTTGGCAAAGGATCAATTGGTGGAAATCTAGTCTGTATGATTGGAGAGAAACAAGTCGCTACAAAATACTGTGATAAATTAGAGAAACCAAATATGGAATGTGATAATCCTATGTGTCAAGTTCATTGGAATGTCAGTAAATGGTCCCAAGTAAGTAATATCATCCGTTTACCTATTACATATTATTATTATTATTTTTCCCTCGGATCCCTAGTGAAACACAGGGCTTCACTAGCACGCCACCAATCAACTCTATTCTATACACTTTTTTCAATCTGGCTACACGACTGCCCACAAACCATCGTTTCTTCCTCACATGATCTCCTCTATGTCACACTTGCCTCAGACGCCCAGCTCATCATTTCCCATGCGGATCCCACTCGAGGACCTGGCCTGACGCATGATGTCCCCAGTCGACCAACTCAGTGTATGCCCAATCCAATCCATCTCCACTTTATTCTCCTGCATATTTGTTGGGTAACAGGTTCTTGCTTTGTTGGTTCGTTCCCAGAGTTCCTTCTTGCTTATTCTTTGCATGCATCTGATCTTCAGTAACCAGCGTAGGTGGCAGCTGATGATATATGTCTGTAGTTTGTTGGAAGTGCTTTTCGTGACGCGCCAAGTCTCTCAACCATCACATAGAAGCACTGACTTGACATTGGTGTTAAAAATCCGAATGTTGTTCACACTTTGTGCTGAGTGCAGTAGATCTTCACACTGATTTCAGAATAATGAAAGCTTGTCTTACTGTCTTTCCGATCCTGGCTGCCTTGAAATCCTCGTCTGTGTCGCTTGTAGTTGAGACGATGCTGCCTGGCAAGTAGGTAGGTGGAGGAGACTACTTCCTTTGGGTTTCTCCCGCTAATGGTGAGTGGTGCTTGTTGTTGATGCTGTCGTTCGTTGGTTATCTTCATCACCTCTGTCTTCTCTACATCTACTTGAAATCCCGTTTTCCCTACCCTACCTTTTCTGTCAACTTCTTGGTTTCCGCCTGTAGATCTTCGAGTTTGTGTGACACTAGACATAAATCATCATCGACGAAATCCAAATCTTCTTCTGGAGTCTTTTCATCGGTCCATGCGGCTTATGCCACTCTTCTCGCTCCTTACGGTTTGCTTCATGATCCAGTCTACCACAATCAGGAAGATGATAGGTGATAGGAGGTAGCCTTGTCTTACTCCTGTCTTCACTTCAAAGGCGTCACTGAGCTTTCCATTGTGTTGAGAAGCACTTGGCATGTGGCGTCGTCATGTAGCTGTTGAATGAGGTTGATAAAGATTTGTGGCACTTCATAGCTTTGAAGCAACTGCCTACCAAGTTACTTCTCGGTCGACGCTGACCACTTTTATGAATAACTAATCCACATAACTACTAAATTGTAGTGTGTTAAACTGTCATCATAGAGTTTGACTAACAAATCTACTAGGCAATGTAATAAAAGGTAAGGTGACTTTAAAGGCCACCTTAGCAACTGCTGAGATAACCAATCGGCTTTCAGCCTTTTTGCTAGAAAGGTCATTTTTCATAAAATAGAGTAACGTAATTGGTTATTTCAGATGTCAGAATGACCTACAAAGTATATTTTATGTCATATCAATCTCTTTATTGATGAGATGGAGGGGGGGGGGGGCTGAGATTAGTGAAGCATCAGAATGCAGTCACAGAAACTATTCAACCATGATTCAGCTACACTAGATAATACAGTTTGTACACTAGGATAGTGACAAATCAGTTGTTAACGATATGACTAGAACAGAGAAATGATCATTTTGTGCTCAAAACGCATAATAAGGCGATACTAAACTTCAATTGTTGAAGAACACTCCCAACCAGTATTCCCATTTGTATACAGGTGCATGGTAGAACAATGGGAACTAGGAAAACTAAATAAACAGCAGTATGATACAGCTTAAAGAAACTTAAAGATATTCTGAACATTCGTATGCTTCTGAAGTAATCTATAGATGGCAGAAATCTCCCTTTATACAAGTATTATATAACATTATGCCCTTTAAGATGGGGATGGTCTGTGTATACATCTACGCCACTGACATTGATTCTGAACAATATCACCTAGAGTTTCCAGCAATTAGTTTCTGTTGTCACGTGGATCTCAACCGGCTAATCTGTATCTCCCTACACGGTACAGATCAGAACAGACCAAAGACTTTATGCAGTGATGTCATGTTTTAGTATGGGTTCCCCTAAGCTTTTTCCAGCTTGAACATAAGCATGCGTAAAACATGTCCAAGCCATCTCAATCGATGAAAATTCACGACCTTACCAACTGACTTTCCATTTCTCCCCAAAACGCTACACCTGACTTCTGTGCTACTCAAATGGAGATGCTGTGATACACGGCTTATGTTACTAAATGGAAAAATACATTTATATATAAAGCAGTATAAAGTTAGGGATTGTGTTGATAACATGTTTAGAACTTATCTGGCCAAAGACGGCTAGACTACAAGATTTTGATCTGTAACTCGTGATTATAGGTACAATGACAGTGTAAAACATCGGACGACGATGTGTGTAACTGAACACTTAGTAAGATAAACCTAGGAAAAGTAAGAGCCACAGGTGACTGCATGCCTGATTTTAGTTGTCTACATATTCCTGTATTGATTTTGAGCCTGTTACACCACTATGTGGTACGTGAGACTCCGAGCTTTTAGCATACCTTCAACAGACTGATTGGATTTACTTGATAGTGCTAGCGACTTGCTCATGAACGTTTTGCACGGTCGAACACTGCTTGTCCGATTTCACTCTCCTTTGAATACAGAAGTAAGTTTAGTTTCGGTGTACTAGATTCGAGTCTCAGTGGGAACAACACCACCCGCTGAGGTGCACGTACGTCCTAGCTAACGAGTGTCAAAAAGGAGGAAATGCGCATCCTGAATTCAACTGACACCTACCGAGTACATTATTATTTGTCCCTTGGGTTCCTAGTGGAACACAGGGCTTCAATAGTACGTCACAATTTCACTCTCTTCTCTGCATTCTTTTCAACCTGGCTAAACAACTCCCCATAACATTTCACTTACTCATCACACCATCTCCTCCATGTCACATTCGCTCAGACACCCAACTCGTCGTTTCCCATTTCAATTCCACTCGACCGCCTGGCCTCATGCGTGATGTCCCCAATCAGCATTCTCACTGTATGACAAATCCAATCCATCTACACTTGATTCTCCTCCATATTTGTTGACCGATAGGTTCTTGCTTCCTTGGTTCGTTGCCACCCAGCCACAGTGAGTTCCTTGTTCCTTATTCTTAATATTCTGGCCATCTGATCTTCAGCATCGAGCCTGAGTAGGCAGCAGCTGTTGATGTATGTCTGTAGTTTGTTGAAAATGCTTTCCGTGACACACCAAATCTCTCAACCATCACATAGAAGCACTGACTTACTTGAATGACATTAGTGTTGAAAATCTGGATATTGTTCACACTTTATGTTGAGTGCAGTAGATCTCCATACTGATTTCAGATTAGTGAAATCCTGTTTTTCTTTTCCGATCCTGGTTTTGACATCTTCATATGTGCCACCTGTAGTTGAAACGATGTTGTCTAGGTAGGTGAAAGAGACAACTTCCTTTAGGTTTCTCCCGTTCATGGTGATTGTTGTCGATGTCGTTGGTTGGGTGCCTTCCTTACGCAAGTATTCAGTCAATCGACATAGTATTATTGAATTTTTTACTATCTGAATGAAAATAATTACATTAGATGATTTTTTTCAAAAAGGATAACAAAATGAACACTTTATCTTTTCTTTTAGTGCTCACGTTCGTGTGGTGGAGTTGGTGTACAAGCTAGACAACTTCTGTGTACTTGGTCACATAATGGTGAACTAGCTGGTTCATTGTGTTATTCGCATCAACTTGCTATTCCAGATGTGATACGCTCGTGTGAAGTCCCACCATGTAAATTAGGTAAGTATAATAAGTTAATATCAATTTCTACATATATTTATTAAGTAATGATAACATATTCAATTTGGGAAGTTTGTGGGGATTTAGTGGTTTTTTTCAAGTTGTTATTCATCATAGACTGGATTGATCTAGCGCTCATTGGTGACTAGCTTCAAGAAGTGATTCCTGAAGTCCCAACAAAAAGTCATGACTGGTGGGAAAAACTAGTGGCCGTGAGGATAAACACTCGAAGATGACATTGTGTGATAGTCACGCTATATCGTGTTGGAAAAATAGATCACTGCATCCCACTCAGTGGCTCAGTTGTGATGTGGTGGCCACGGAACCTGAGTCCTGGATTCAATCCCTAGAGGGTGGGCTCGTGGGTGTGCACTGCTGAGGAATCCGATATTCGAAAGACGAAACAAGCATCTAGTTCTCTCATATTCCAAATGTTCTTCCAACTGCTGTCTGTCCATGATGAATACCATCATCAATATCAACATAGGACCAGGGATTACTGCGTAACAATCCCAGTTGCCACACCTCATATCAGTACATCAAGCAGAAAGGTAGTGAGGTGCAAGATGAAGATAAGAGAATGCAGTCAAAAGAAATATAAAATTCGAGAAGAGAGAAAGGAAGAATGAGAAAATAGTGACATTCGGTATAACGTCGTTAAAATGAGGATAATGTACGTAATATACATCTGAGCCACTGACATCGGTTCTGAGCCATATCACCTACGGTCTCCAACCACTGGTTCCTCATGTCCCGTGGACCCCAATCACCTAGTCTGCATCGTCCCACATGGCTTAAACCAACAGTCAGAGACTTCATACATTGGTGCCATGTTTTAGTCTGGCCACCTTGGGCCTTTTTTAGGCCTGGATCTACTTCGACCAACACTGTGTGATGAGGCGATCGGTGACTAGGCATACGAAGTGCGTGTCCCAACCATCTCAGTCAATGAAGGTTCATAACCTCGTCAACTGACTTACCTCTTCTCCCTAAAACTCTACACCTGTTTTCTGCGTTACTCACATGGTGACACCACGGAATATGGCCTATACTACGAAGGCAATGGTGGTCAAACACCTGAGGTCTTCTCATCCTCTTCCACCTTGTATGGCCATGTTTCACAGCCATACAGTAGAACAGAGCGGACTGCTGTGCAGTACACGCGACCTTTAATAGACAAACGGATATCACGATGGCACCACAGGTGGCAAAAGCTAGTCGAGCCTTTTGTATCAATGCAGAGATTTCATCGGCCACTAACCAGTGCTGATCCCACTTCACTTCCCAGGCAAATGAAGTGGTCGACACACTGAACCACTACACTCATTCTCTATTGTTAGCCGTGGTGGGGCACCATTGAAGACCAATCCTGGAGCAACAATTTGCATTTAGGTGGAGAGAAACGCATTCCAAGCACTCTCAAATTGACACTCAAAGTGTCCAGAAGACTCTGCATGTTGTCAGCGTCTTCACCTAACAGGACTATGTCATCTGCATATTGTAGGTCTAACAAAAATTCTCCCGCTATTAGGTCAACCTCTGTGTAGTCAGGCGACGAGACAGAGACCTCTATAAGAATAAGTATAATAAAAATGAATGAAAACGGCGACCGCTCGACAAGTACAACTACCTGGACATCTTACAGTACATGTATGTCATAAACAGTACAAAAGCTATATCCATCTTGGTGGCTAGCTATGGAATCTAAGACGCTTGTTTCGTCCTACTTATGACTCATCAGTTGAATGTACCTGAACCTCAGTCATTGATATTGTTCCCACCGAGATTCGAAAGCCAAATCGTTATTCACTAGGTCACTGTTAACTACTAGCAGTGGAATCCAGGATGCACAGGGGCCCATCTCTTAATAGACGTCGAGCGATTTACTCCAATATAGCAACGGCAAATTACAATATGAAAGCTGTTAATAATCCTGAATAATTCATTTCTGACTTTCATTTCTGTATTCTTTATAATATTTTAGGTTGTGTTGATATGTCTAAACATTGTTCAAAGAGAGTGGAACTCTGTAAATTTACAATATATCGTTATCAATGTTGTCAATCTTGTCAACAATATGTACAAATGATGTCATCCGTAAAAGATACTTTGAAAATATTTCAAAGACAAAAATTCTCTAATATTCTTTCATAACGAACAAATAATTAATGCATTTATTGATAATTGAATAAACAATAGATATAAGATCAATCATTAACTAACCTCAGGGTTTTGAGAGAGAAAAAGAGAGAGTAATATTGATCAAAACAACAGATTAATCCCATAAATCATATCCCCTTATTGATTTTATTTTGCTTTTTCTCATTTTGGTAAAATGATTAGCCTATCCTCTCTTGTTTTCTAATCAGCATTTATTATAAAAGTTAAACAACAAGGAAAAGAACAATAAAAAAAAGGAAGACTACTCTTATGATGATATTGTTAGTTATTTAAGCACAATCACAATATAACAAATAACCGGTGGTGCATAACAGCATCCGTATACAATCGTTTCCCTTACATCCCTTTCCCACCACCTATGCTCCTTTACAAGCAATGCAAAATGTTTAAATGCCATTTATTTACAAATAAATCAGAAATTTCTTTCTCAAAACAACTGAATCTCACAATTATCAATAGATTATAAAGGAACGAATTCATTGATAATAAGCGTATCACTATCGCCACACACATACACACATTATATGCCTGTTTGTACAAATTGTACATACAAGAATAATAATATACACATATATTATAGAAATGTACTGTATTTATTACCTCTACTCCTTCAATACATTAAAAAAGCATATTTCACAATAAGCATACATCTCAATTACACCATCTTAAACCTGTTGTCATTGGACATTTTTTTGTCATGCCTATTTATTGTAAAATTACATTATTAAGTGCAATTGGTATTTTATGCTATAATATATATATATATATATATATACAATCTCATAAACCAGTTTATACGCATGCAAGAGGTATCCACAATTGGTTGACTTGATATAATTGATTACATAACATGAATAGTAATTAGTGCTGAGATGAAATGATGATACCTAATATAATCCATTTGAATACTAAAACAATCTAAGTCATATCTTTTACAATAAACTAATTAAAGTATACAATAAAATTGTTAAGAAAATGAATGATAATTCTTATTTGTCTCCTTTATTGTTTTTCTATCATTACTTCTGCCAATATTATCATTACTACCTATTAATAATAATTCTATGAAAGTCTTAAAAGAAAAAAGAATATATATAAACAAACATACAAGTGTATTTATAGTACTTTTCCATTCCATTAATGGATGACTGGTTGATATTATTAGTGTAGGAAAGAAATTACGATCTCCACCTGAATTCCAGCGTAAAATTCTCTTGAATAAGAGATGACAATCACTGAATATATATATATATATATATATATATATATATATATATATGTGAAGAGTGATGTCCAATGAAATAAATTTCAGACAATTGCAATAACTTTCTTTGTGAAGCTCTGATGATAAGGATGGTTAGCATAATATTCAAAAGGTTTATCAACCAAAACCCTAATCTCAGTGAACAATTCATTCTCAACACATTGAAGTTATTTCAAGTTGTTATTCATTGTAGACCGACATCAGTTGGAAGAAAAAGGGAAATCTGGGAGTACTGGACAGCTGTTTCGTCCTAGTATGAGACTCCTCAGCAGTACGCATCCACAACCAGCACGTTATCTTCGTCCATATTTTTAACTTCTGCCAGCTCACAATATAGTGCAACATTGAGATTAGTTAACAAAATCGAATGAGTCAATGACAGTTACAACTATTAATCCGATTTCAATGAAAAAATAAACTTCTCTTCGATGAATCACCTTGTGCTAAATATTTACAGAGTTTCCGCAGTCATCTGTTAAACTTGTTATAGTGAATACATAAATGATAAACAATTCAATTGGTTAACATTTAGATATAGATTGCATATTTGTGTAAGTCACAGCGGGTTTGAAATCAAATAATTCCAAAGTTTCGCACGAAAGTCTGATCCGAGCTTCTTCAGGGAAATAATCGAAAACGAAACATCAAGGATATATAAATGATTTAAAGCAACTGGTCCCCTTGATAAATTTAAACAGCGTAATGAGAAGACGAAGATTATCTGAAACATATGATATATTAGCGCTATACATTTCGAGCAATCTGATCACATATGGAGTTGTCGAACTATTTATGTGAAAACATGGCTGACGATCTCATCGGAAGGGTTTCACTTCATAAGAGATATGTCGATGATACAGTCATTATATGTGAAAAGCCTGATGATGCAATGTGCCTGCTACAGAAAATGAACACAGCCTGACTTGTGAACAAGAGACGAACAACCAGCTACCGTTCCTAGACGTATTGCTCAGTCGACGGGAGGATGGCTCGATCAGGAGGTCGGTCTATAAGAAACCTACATGGACAGGGCAATATCTTAATTTCCATAGCTATTGTGCAGTCCAATATAAACGTGGTTTAGTCAGGTGCTTATTCAACACGATAAACCGCATCTGCACCGATGACACCAGGGAGGAAGAAACCAACTTACTGACGACAACTCTGACACAGAATGGATACCCGTTGAGATTTATCGACCGGTGCAAAAGTTACGTAGCATTGAAAAGTACAGTGTTCCGTTGCTAAGATAAATGTCTACATCTCATTACCATTTAGAGGTGATTCACATAGCTTTGTTGTGAGGAAAAGACTTAGGTTGGCCATCTGTAAAACGTATTATGTAGCTAAGGTCATCATCGTAGAGAAGACCAAATCCATGTTACAGCACAAACCGAAACAACATATAAACGATTACATCACACCCCACTGTGTTTATCAATTTACATGTATGTGTGGACACACATATATAGGGAGAAGTATACGTGATACGCAATTGAGGAAGGCTGAACATGTACCTAAGTGGCTACAAAAACAAATGACCTCAACAGATCCGATAAGTGCAGGTGACAAACATCCATCTTCGTCTATCGCTAAACATATACTAGAAACTAACCATAGGATAGACATGAAAACAGCCTTTAAAGTACTACATAAAAGTGGTCAGAGCTAAGTGCTTAAATTTATTGAAGCTCTGACCATCCATAAATTCGAACCCCCTTTATGTATACAAAAACAATTCGTACTCAAGTTGAACCTACCTTGGTAGTATTGATTTTAATTTTCATACCAAGAGTTGGGTTTTTCTTTCTCTATCCCTTCCTATTCCTATGTTTCCCATTAACTTCATTGACATTTTCGTAAATTTTCACATAAATAGTTCGACAACTCCATGTGTGATCAGATTGTTCGAAATGTATAGCGCTAATATAATATCATATGTTTCAGATAATCTTCGTCTTCTCATTACGCTGTTTAGGTACATAAATGAATTCCAAATATGTGTATTTAATCTCCTTGTCCAATCCTCTTCATATAGTCATTGTCTTTCTAAATTATGATAACTAGTCATTCAGTGTGAAATTGTATGTCTTTTGTTGTATATATGTACTCCAATTCAAACTCGTCTTGATTGTAAATATCAGACAAAAAGGACACTGGTGACACTATAGTCATTCGGTAATTTTACATAAGTACAAATTGAAAAGGATGAGATGGATGTGTATACAATTTCAGTTGGGATAAAGTGGTGAATAGTGTTAGCGAACTTTCTTCGCATTGATTTACCGGAACAGAGTGGTGGTAATGACAGTAATAATGAATACATATTTGGAATTCATTTATATGTATCCTTAATATTTTAATTCCGATTACTTCCCTGAAGAAGTTCGGGCCAGACTTTCGTGCGAAACATTGGAATTATTTGGTTTCAAACACGCTGTGACTTACGCAAATACAATGTATATCTAATGCCAACGGCGTCACGAGTGAACAAGTGGAGGATAGACCTTATGGTTCGCCAACTGATGTCAGCAAGTTATCATTATCACTCAATGTCATCGTTGAGTATTTGTCCTCACGGCCACCAGGTTTGCCCTGGAGTCTTGGTGAGCACTGTTGAGGAACCTCATACTAGAACGAAACAGCCATCCAGTACTCCCAGATTTCCGATGTTCCCCTAACTGATGTCAGTTCACGAAGAATGCCAACTTGGAAAGTCACTAAATTCCCACAAATTCACTAGTGACTTCCATTGAAATTGATTTCTCAAAGTTCTAATGGAAATTCATGACATATAGGGGCAGTCGATTCAGGAATGAGGTGGATGACTACTGTGAACACTGTATACTGATCGCGATACACCGACAATTGGCGAAACTAAGGAATAGTGAACAACTGAAATCAAACCTAGTTGCTGAACAGTGATGAACTCGCTGTGAGATCTTTCGCCGGGTCACACTAGAGAAAACTCTTATAATACAGTAACACAGCAGTTCAATATTCTCAGGTTTCTAATGCAATTACACACACATCTTAAGGTTTCACCAATAATGAAAGGTCTTGGCAACCAGGTAGTGTACATCGAGGGTAACCCACAACAGGCTGTCTAATCCCAAGTGCCGATCGAATCCCATAGGTCATTTCGCAACGTGCTCATACTAGGCAACGAGGCTGACAATACCAATGCACTTTGATAGACGTTTGTTGGATGGGAGCAATCGGTAGGAAACTCTGCTCAACCTGGTTTTTTTTCAACTTCGACAAAACATATGTAACGCCTGGGATTCAAAACCACGTTATCCAATAGTGAAGTCAGTCATACATAAGGTCATTTGCTTTCCGAATAGCTCAGTTACACTAAAAGACGAAGTCAACGCAGAATCTTGCAAACAACTATATCAATTGAAGCTACCACACTTCAAAGTAGTATATAAAGAATAGGTGGATAAGAGAAAAAATTGTATGAGTGAATAAAAATTTGAAGATAAAGGTTAGTATGAATATTCAAGCTTTAGATGTGAAACACAGGATTCATATACGCCATTGTAACGACTTTATAGCCATATCACCAAGACTTCTCCTCAACCACTGATCTCTGTCGTCTTGACGACCCTAACCAGGCAGTCTACATCTCCTAACACGGATCAGACCAGGAGTAAGAAACTTCGTCGGCTGGTGTCACGTCTTGGTCTGACCACCTTGAATTCTTTATCCCCCTAATTCTTCTTCCTTTAGCATGATATGTTGAGTTAGGCAGTGGGTCAGCATGTGTAGTAAATGTCCAAGCTATATCAATCGATGATGGTTCACAGGTTCCTCAATCAACTTGCCTCTTTTGCCTAGCACTCATCACCTGACTTCAACATTCCTTACATGGTGATCCAACTAAACGCAAGTAATGCTACAAGAACCCGTAATCGCTTCATGTCTTCTGTTCAGTGGTAACGCGTGATGTGGATTAGAATCTCACAATGGATATCAATTCTCTTGAGGTGTAACGTAGGTCGAGCAAGGCATTCTGACGACTTGCCTACATCCAACTAACAGCTAGGTAGTGTGGCTTATCATGACCTATTGTATGTATATGAACAAGGTTACTGTAGGCAGTTCATTTCATCAACTAGTAGGGATTCAACTAGAATTCACCCAAAACCTATAACTAGAGATAGATCATCTCTTTTTATACTTATCGAAAACCAACGCAACACAATAATATCAAGAGGGCTAACAATCATAATGACAACAAATAGTTAAAATGTTTGAGATTATCACGATTACATCAAGTCATGTTTTCACAACACTAGTCATGATAATAATTATCAATATGATAACATCTACAGCAACAGGAGTAAATCACATCATACTCTATAAAAAAACGCTGACAAGAAAAGAATTCCAATTAAGGAATCAATAAAAGCAAGAAAATTAGAAAACAAAATTCTTAATTGCTTAATCAAAATGTAGAAGAGGGGGGGAGAGCCCCCTCCCCCGCTTAACTGATTGATTTCACGTGAAAAAAATTGAAGGAAATAAAGAATTTAGATTTTAATTTTTGCCCTGTCACTAAGTAACTGAAAAAGAGAGAAAAATAATCAACAAAAATGCTTAAGTAAACAGAAATCTGTGCAAAAAACATTTGTAACTATAATATGAAAGATCGTAGAGAGTATGATGAATGGATTTCATTTAAAAATGAGTGGAAGACCAATTCACCAACAGTTAACTAGCTAGCTAGCACAAACAATACAAGAACAAGAACATCATCATCAACAACAACAAACAAACAATTTGAAGTCAAAACGAAATTCATGGTGCTTCTTTAAAATTTGTTCATACAATCATAACAGAAACTGGCACCGAAAGAAAGAAGACACGTGTTGCTAACTTTAATTAGATAAAAGTAATGCGAAAATCCTAAGGAGATTGTATTCTGAAAGTAAATAAGATAAACATGTAACAATTATAAAAAACTAAAGCAACAAACGTGATTAGTAATACATTCCAGAAAACACCAGCACAAACTTCGGAAAAAAAGTGAGTGATAAGGTTTTCTCCTCAATTTATTTAGTGGCGTATCCTGATGGCCTTGTATATGATTGGTTGTTTCTGCCAAGGTCTTCTCGTTGTCTGTATGTTTATTTTGATTGGTTTCCTCCATGATTTATTTAGTGGTTTATCCCAATGGCCTTGTGCGTGATTGACTGTTTGTATGATAAGACCTTGGCAGAAACAACCAATCACACACAAGGTCATTAGGCCAAGCCACTAAATAAATTGAGGAGGAAACCTTATCATCACTCACCTTTTTCGGACTTTTGGGCTAATGAAGTCGGCGAGAATGACAACGAAAGCTCCACGATTAAACAATTCATTTCAGGGATCACATCAAAATTATTCTCCATCATCTTAATATATATATATATATATATATATATATATATATATATATATATATATATATATATATATATATATATATATATATATATATGGTAGAATTTTCACACTATTGACGGGAATCAGCAACTGATTGACATCTGTATGAATACGAATTCCACTCACACCTACCTTCTGCATATGTAAGTGGAGCAGTTGGTTGAAAGTTAAATCCTTAAACACCAATGACATCCATGAGATGATAATAGTCGATGTTTGGATACTGTAGGTGAAACAGTTGAAAACTGTTTACACTGACTTAGGTGTTTTCTCATCTCATCATTTGAATAAGAAAGCTATAAACTTCGATTCTTTTGTTGTCCTTTAATATCTTCGTCTTGTAACTTTTCAGTGTTACACTTCCATTGCTTTTTCAAACCTTTCGTTGTCTACTTCAGTGTGCTGTAAACAAAGTGATATCATATTCTATGTTGTTTATGTTTGTTATAAGAGCATAAAGTGATAAGGCAAAGTCATAAGACGTCAATTTCAACTAGAATAGATCAGCGGTACAAGATCTTTGACTGCAGTACAAGATGAGGAGACAATGCCATCAATTCCTTACTCATCAGTGCTAAACGAACCGAAAGCACCCAGACCCATATCCATTTGTTAACTGCTTTCAACCAGCTAACACCAATCCATTTATCTACTACGAATCACATTCGAAAAGCCTACCCAATATTTATTCACATATCACAATGGTGACAAAGGTAGGCAATAAAATAGAAAGTTAGGAGCAAATACAATTTTAAGTACTTATTTGGTTTTGAAAAAGTGTGGATAGTGAGTAGTCATACGTTATTTATTATTTGTCCTGTGGGTTCCTAGTAGAACATACGGCTTCAGTAGCACGACTACATTTCACTCTTTTTGACCTGGCTACACCACTGCCGTTAACCTTCCGTTTCTTCCTCATACGATCTCCTCCATGTCACCTTCATCTCGGATGCCCAACTCGCTGTTTCCCATCTGGGTTCCACTCGAGTGCCTGATGTCTCCGAATAGTCTTCTCAGTGCATGCCCAATCCATCTCTACTTCCTTCTGCATATTTGTTGGGCGATAGGTTCTCGGCTGATTCGTTACCAGAGTGAGTTCTTTGTTGCTTATTCTTTCTGGTCATCTGATCTTCAGTATCGCACGTAGGAGGCAACTGTTAACGTATGTATGCAGCTTGTTGTAACGTAATAAGTCTATCAATTATCACATAGAAGCACTTACTTGACTGACATTAGTGTTAAAAAACCGGATCTTGTTTACGCTTTATGCTGAGTGCAGTGCAGTCCAGTAGATCTCCATATTGATTTCAAAATGATGAAATAAGACTTTTCTTGCTTTTCCGATCTTGGTTTAGACATCCTCATGTGTCTGTGCCGCCACCTGTGCCTTGCCTAGGTAGGTGAAAGAAACAACTTCCTTTAGATTTCTCTCGTTGATGATATCTGGTGTTGGGTGTTGTTGTTGGTTGGGTATCTTCATCACCTCTGTCTTCTTATGTTCACTCGAAGTCCTTCGCCACCTCGCCTCATCTGACAACTTGTTAGTTTTCGTCTGTAGATCTTCGAGTTTGTGCAACATTAGACATAAATCATGATCGGAGATGTTCAAATCTTCTAAGGTCTTTTCACTGATCCAACCAGTGTATGCCCATCGTCTCGCTCCTCACGGTTTGCTGTATGATCCAGTCCAGTCCAGTCGACCACAATTAAGATCATCGGTGATGGTAGACAATCTTGTCTTGTCTTACTCCTGTTTTCACTTCAAAGGCATCGCTGAGCTGTTCATTGTGAATCACCTGGCATGTAGCATCCTTATATAGCATATAGCTGTTGAATGAGGTTGATAAAAGTTTGTGGCGTAGCGTAACGTTGCAATCTGATGCGCACATGATTTGTTTTTCCTGCAGCCAGTCAGTCTGTTCTGGTCATAATTCTGAGTCAAGAGCATTTTTCAGTCTCTCCAGGATGATGCGGCTTAATATTTTGGTTGGAGTGGACGGCAGCGTGATTCCAAGGTAAGTTATACGCTATAGTGGGAGAGAATAAATGGTGCGAATGACTTAGTTGGAAGTTATACTGAAGGAAAAGCACTACAAAGCGAACTCACAAATCATCATATGATGGAGGTGGAATGCTGCGAGAATGATTGGTAGCGTTATCACGTTTAGTAATTCTCAGCACACCTGGTGGATTTTCGGGCAGATGAAGCTGTACCTCGTCGTCCTCTTGTTCCTCTACATTATGACAATGAACTTGGGGTGGGATCTGATGAATAGGAATATGACTATCAGTTGTATATTCAGATATTGGTCGAGACTTTTTCTTTAGTTTACCATTACCTAGCTTTGATGGTATTTTTGGTCGTCTGATTCGAACAAGATTTGATTCTTCAACTGTTGGTGGAATAAGCAGCAAACTACTAGGCCGAGAACGTGACCCTGCCAACCTTGGAACCCTGAAAATATAAAGGGAAGTAAGATACGAGTTTGCATTACTTCGAATGGAATATATTCAGTTAATTCTGTATGACTAGATAAGACACTTAAAGGGAAAGTAGCAGAATGATGAGAAAACTTAGCACTACTCTTCCAACATTGGTGGTTTATATGAATAAAAATATGACAAGCTAAAAGATGAGAGACAAGATCTATCTGCTAGTTGTTTATTGTTCCCGTTTGAGTAAAAGAGCATACGCGCTATACGGATAAGCTTTCCAAAAGCGTGGGATTATCTTTGCAGTATAACTTAAAAACAACTCTAAGAGTCATCTACCGTTCAGATCAGGCAGATTATTACAACTGATGCGGTACATAAACCCCCAAATCACTAGCCTAGGATTCGATGAGATTTAACATCAATGCTGACCTTCATAGTTTTATCGGACTCGTTAAGCTAAATACACACGGTCAAGCATTCACGTCTTTTGGCACGATTTTGAGTTACATTGCACTGAAAATAATCCATCCTCTAGCCAGGGGTCGAAACGCATCAATATTTCGGTACGACCTCTCAAATATACTATACCCATTCGACTAAATTATTGTGTAACTTCCTTGGTGTCGTATTCGTGGGTATATAACAAATATGGATAGTTAGTGATTGACATCCGTGTTTGTCAAAGTTCGAACAACGACAATTCCTAAACAAGCTGTTATTCACTGTAGACTGACATCAGTTGGCGGAACAAAGGAAACCTGGGAGCACTGGACAGCTGTTTCGTCGTAGTATGGGACTCCTCAGCAGTGTACACCCACAACCCAATCCATTGAGCCACTGGGTCGGTGGAATCTGTCAGTTCACGATACATAGTGTGAGAATCACTTAATGTCATTGTTGAGTGTTTGTCCTGTCCAGGTTTGCCCTACCGGTCACGACTTCTCGTTGGAACTTCAGGAATCATCTGTAGAAGCTAGTCACCAATGAGCACTACATTAATTCAATTGATGTCAGTCCATGATGCATATTTTTTTTCTCAGTATGATGACAGCACTATACATATGAAGCGAGAAAGGAAAACATACTACTCAGAACTGACTTTTGGCCTAGTTACAGAGTGTATATTTCGTTAGCTCATAACACCCATACCTCAATGATCATACTGTAGTTTCAGTTGAATGGTTTTCAACAGAAGCCTATTTGATACTATCGATGGAAAACTACTCAACTGTGACAAAATTCATTAAATTTATAGTTTACTGGTTCATCCAAGTTATCCAGTCAACATTCAGTTGACACAAATTAATCTTTATAAGCTGAATTAGTTCAGAGATACCGCTAATCAGATCAGCATCAAATAAGCCTTGCCCACTTCGGATTGGATCAGCCTTGTTGCGTAGGTGGTCGACGAAATCTCTATACGGATAGATGTAAAGGGCTAGATCGGTTTTCATCAACTTACACCAGTTTTGGCGTCGCCTAGATATCTGATTACCTGTTAAGGGTTGAGTGTACTATGATGCAGTTAGCTATATCTTACTGTATGACTGTGAAACATGGCCATTACATGTAAGGAGGCATGATGAAACTTCTGGTGTTTGAACACCATTGGTTTCCTAGTATAGGCCAAGTGTCGTGGCGTCACCATATCAGTAACGCAGAAAGTTAGAAGTAGACTTTTAGGCAGGAGACGAAAGTCAGTTAATGAGGTTGCAAACCAACATCGATTGAGATAGTTAGGACACGTGGTAGGCATGACTGTTCACCTTCCTCCTCGTCGCACAATGTTAGCTGAAGTAGATTTAAGCTGGAAAAAGTTTGGTAGTAGCCAAACTAAAAGATGACATCAGTGCATGAAATCTTTGACTATTGATGTGAGCCATGTAGACTTCCTGGTGCCGGACAGTGTGACAATAGAAACCAGTAGGTAGTGACTCTAGGTGAGATGACTCAGAATCGATGTCATTGGTGTAGATGTAACCACACATTATGTTCATCTTAATCGTCATACCGAATTTAGTATTTCCTTATCCCTTCCTCATCTTTTTTACTACCTTTGCTCTTGACCGATTCTTCCCCACTCTTCAATCTTTCATCTTAGCGTTCTCTCACTTTATATGCTGATATGAGGTGTGATCTCTTAGACCGTTATGCAGTAATGACTGGTCCTAAGTATATATTGATGTGGAAACTAATGTCCGATGTTTTCAGATGACTAATCTGAATAGCCAAATGTGCACACTGGTATGAGTGATTTCTAACTACGCGTGCCGATCAGCACACAAGTTATATTTTAAGTGAGATTGTACAGATGTAGGGGATGATATCAAGGGAAAAAATTTATTCGCTTAAGACCTCATTCTTTTGACTCGATGGAAATCTCCACGTAATCTTACAGATACGGTAAGTAGGAAGACAAGCAGAACTTTGTAAAAAAGATACGAATTTAACTTAAGTAAAATTATGACAGCGGACATAGAATTGATTCGGAGTATGCAGATGTTATCCCTTCAGGTGAAGACTGTCAAAATGCAAGGTCTTTTGAACGCGTTGAAGAGAAATCTGAGTATGTTTGGCATGCGTTTCACTGGTACTTGTCAAATCTAAGATGATGCCCCACGACTGGTCTGGCACAAGTACTCCCAGTCTAATGATAGAGACCACTTCATTTACTTTGAGTGGCATCAGCCCGGTGAAAGGGCTGGTTGTTGATGAAATCTCAACTTGGATACAGAGCACCCGTTTGGCATTAGCCAACCTGCGTCTTCCCTGTTGCCAACTGGCAAGATATTCAACTATCTATCAAAAGATTGATGAAGTCATGAACCTTTATTGACTGAGGTGGTTGTGATGTGTTGCACATACTAAGTCACCACCCACCTCAACGTGCACTGCCAGACGAAGTCGCATTATATTGGACGTGAGTTAAGAGTGGTCACACCAAGATACAGTGCCAGTGCACGGAGTCTCTGACTGTTGATATGAGCAGTGTTGGGAGGTGTAGACCACCTAGATGGCTGGGGTCCCCGAGGCGATAGGAATCAGTGATTGAGAAGGACTCTTGGTGACATGACTGAAAATCTGTGAGTGGTGCAGATGTATTCACTCCTTGACATCTAAAGCTTGAATATTTGCACTAACCTATAAATCTAAATTTCATATTCTCTCATATGACTTCATCTGTTCTTTGTGCATTACTGTTAAGTGTAGTAACTTAAGGTGGTGCACTTTTGCGCAAGGTTCTACGTTGATTCTGTCTGTCTGACATAGAATTCGCGTGATTTGTAAATGTGTCAGCAAGCAAATGGCTTTTGAGGATTTCATTATATATAAGTTTTATAAGTTTTTTGTCGCATATGAGTGTTTCACCATAAAAAGGTATACGTAGTTGATTGATTCAAGCTTTCGAGTTTTCAAATATGGTACACCTATCTACGCAGCATCGTTCCAACTACAGGCGGTACACACCAGGACGTCAAAGCCATCCATGATCGGAAACACAGCAAGACAGGCCTTCCTTCACTAAACTGAAATCAGTGTGGAGATCTTCTACATTACAATCAGCATAAAGCGTGAACAACATCCGCATTTTCAACACTAATACAGTCAAGTCAGTGCTTCTGTGCGATACTTCAGAGACTTGGAGCGTTACGAAAGACATTTCCATCAAACTACAGATATTCATCAACAGCTACCTACGCTCGTTACTGAAGTCCGGATGACCAGAAAAAAATAAGCAGCAAGCAAATCTGGCGTGACAACGAACCAACCAAGAACCTACCACTCAACAAATATGCAGAAGGAAGTGGAGATGGATTGGGCATCCACTAAGAAGACTATTCGGAGACATCAGGCACTCGAGTGGAACCCAGATGGGAAACAGCGAGTTGGGCATCCGAGACGAAGCTGACATGGAGGAGATCATGTGAGGAAGAAATGACAGCTTGTAGGCTGTCGTGGAGGCAGATCCAAAAGATTGCACAGAACAGAGTGGAATGGAGTCGTGCTACTGAAGCCCTATGTTCCACTAGGAACCCAAGGGACAAATAATAATGATATCCCTTTAAGCATGAATGCTATTATCATGTAAAAATTTTTAGCGTAAAGACGACACCTATCGTAATTATAATCAAGATACAAAAGACATGGCAGCTTAGATCATTTTATCAGTAATGAAAAATTCTTTCTGAAGGGCATAATAAAAAGTCACGGAGGAGAATAATGAAATAGATATGATCATTTTATACAAAAGTAGATACACTAACCTTTGATAAAAATTATGCTGTTGTAAAAATTCAATATTCCTATCTTGACTATTAACATTGATTGGTGGAATTTCATTGTGAATTCTGCTGCTACTAGGTGTACAAAGTAAAGGTATTTCGATAACAGATGATGTAGAGTTAACTTGATGTTGTTGTTTTACTTTTGAAGTAGTAGGATGTATTATCGGCAATGGTGTTTGACGTGCATTCGATGGAGGAAAATCTAATGGTTTAAAGTGGTGTTAGGTAAAATACAAACTTTGTTAGATGTTATTGGATATTGTGTAATAGTTTGAATATTTTTAGGTCTACGAGACCATCCCCATGGAGAATGAGAGCGATAACTAGGTACTGAAGGATTAGGTGGACTAAGCCATCTTAAAGAGTGACCTGTAACAGTCCAAAGAACTGGTTCATTAACAGATCCAGAAGGTATAACAGTAGGAGGTAGAAATGGAGATAAGGTGGGTCTATTGCGTTCTATGCTATGCAGACGAGCAGCAGGAGTACTGACGGCAAACAATTTTACAAAAATAATCATCCCAATTATAACGGCTAAGGTAATAAGAATTACAGCCCACCAGTGCATCTGTTAATAAAAAGAGAAACAAAATAACAAATTTTAAAAATCCCAATTGAGTGCACATAGAAAACTTAACTTATATAGAAAAAAAAGTGAAAAAACGCCTCATATGGTTCGAATAAACAGATGAAAAATAAAAAGGAGAATATTCAATCTGGAATTTATCACAGACTGAACATTGGAAACCTGGGAGCACTGGATAGCTGTTTCGTTCTAGTACAGGACTCCTCAGCAGTGCGCACCCTAGTGGGGTCAGAGGTCAGGAAACTTGAGTGTTGATTGAGTTGTGAGGGTGGTTGACAATTCCCAGCTGCCCACATCGTGAAAGGTTATTCCTTCTTAAGTTACCTCAAAGAGATTTGTGTGACCGCAGACCTCGTCGGACATCTGTTTGAGGCCTATCACACGTAGCCTCTTTTGAGTATGATTATTTTGAACTTTTGTATTTTTGGGGCTGGATGGTCGAAAGGAAACGACAAATGAACCAACACCCCCGACCCAGCAGACCGTGAGGCATGGTGGAGTGTGTTATTTTTGGGGCCGACCTTTTCTAACCACCGCCTCCCTTCCACTGAGAAGGCAGCATCAGCATGGTACTGTTGGTCATCCAAGGGAAACACTCTACTGCTGTCACACCCCACCCAGCTAGCAGCAGTACGAGTTCGCCCTCAGACCCCCATCATGGTGTAGCAATTTACACCACAACGGTAACTGCTTTTCGTCTAACCACTATCCAACAGACCTTTCTGGTATGGTAAGACCTCGAGGGAACAAGCGTCCTACCAGCATAGCTCGTTGGGTCATTGTGATATGCAAGCCCGACCACCATGCCAAGGTAGCAGCTATCGGTCGGGGGAGGGGGGTTAGAGGTACCTAAGGTTAGGCCCATTATTACATCTATGACGAAGTTGAACATGACCGATGACAGCAAGTACCTCTAGTGGGGACAACTAGTTGTCATCCACTCGTACAACAACTCTCCATAAGCCCTTACATGGCTGCATGACTTAAAGTCCAAAGCTTTCTTTGTTTAGCGTTAATATACTTTCTCCGTACTCCTTTCACAGTTAGACACTCAGACAAAACCTGAAGGTTAACAGTCTAACTCTCTCTTCAAGTCAACAAATATGGCGAGTTCCGGTTGCCAGTAAGTATTCCTGTGTTTCAGAGCCTGTCAAAGGGTGAAAATCTGGTCGACGTACCCTCATCCAAGTCTGAAAACTGCCTGAGTTCCAGTGAGGTGTCGGACAACCATGGACTCTAGAATCTTGAAAATAATATTGGTCAAAATAATTCTCATATGGTTGTCACAAGAAAACTCCCGTCTTACAGACTGGAATGATCAGTGAAGTACAGAGGTTTGACTCGAATATGCCTGATTACTATATACTACCTAGTACTTCCGTTACTTTGTAATCTCCTGCCTCCATCCTTAACAACTCCAGGTAGGAAACCATCAGGTTTCAGGTTCGAAATAACCTTCCTAACTTAAACGACAGTTCAGGTTCAAACTTGAAGCCAGACGACTTAAACGGTGCTGTAAGCTGTCAGACTGCACTTCAAAGTACTCTGCCGAACGTTCTAGCCCCCTGTCCTGAGAGGCAATTAGGGTACTATAATTGTATCCTTAACATGTCTAAATAACGACCGGGTATTACCTAACGCTGATGTTTTCTTTATCTTTCTCTTTCACCAACCGCCACTACTGGCGATTATTGTGAAAACTGTTGGTCAATTTAGGATTAAATTACCTTATCTTTGTGGTCAGTCTCTTGAAATGAGTCTTGTATTAATCAGTTCGAATAACCGTGAGGGGAATCCATCGGATATAAGTTACTGTCTTTACCACAGTTTCTACACTAGACTGGATAACATACCAAGTTCTCTGAGCGTGAGGACTACTGCAATGTTTAAGAAGAAGTACCTTCCTCTTAAATACGTAGTTGAAATTCTCATCTTCCCGTCGACCACACAAGCTTCAGTGTTACCTGTTTCTCACTAACAGTAGAGTGATAACATAAACCTTTCCGCACTAACGCATGATCACAGTTCAAAGAGGGACTCCAATGTGAGCAGCAATCCGCCAACGATGGCTCATAATAGTATGATCCATCTGCGTCCATCGTTGTTTTGGTGACGGCAGAAGCCACGTAAGACAAAATTACAAGAGATGATCAGCGTTTTTGGTTCTTTGGCGCTGGGAAACTGTAGATGTCCCCAAGATGCCTTTCCGATTGGCTCAGCTCCTCAACTTGAGTGTTACAGTCACCTGACATTAAGACTACATCTGAACGTTTTGCAAAATTGACAGCTTCTCATAGAATTCATCCTTTGCATCATCCAAACTGCAGTCGGTAGGTGAGCAGGCGGACATTACGAATAGCATCAGTTAGTCTTCCGATCTTTCCTAGTTTCAACAGATCCATTCGATCGAACAGCATATAGACGGCTGTTGACTAGTATTCAGTGCACTTCCTGCTATGCCTACATCAGAGAGCCCACTAGCCTTTGGGTCTTCGGATACTCTTCAGGTGAATTTTTAGGATTCACTACAATGGTCAGGTGAGATCAAGTTAATAACCACACAACGCTCGTGTCTCAAAAATACAGCACACACCTATGGTTTGAGATTCCTGAGTTCTGGCAAGAGGTGTCTACTGTCCGATTCGGCACAAAGTTAGGACGATGGAAGCTTTAATTGTGAGACCGACAATAAAGTTTTGAAAAACTACGAGTGATGCTCCAAAGGGCTGTATCGTTGGCAATGGTCGTAGAGTGAGAGGTTGGGGAAATTGCAAGAGGTTTAATATTGGTACCATGAAGTTAAGGCAAAGAAATCGACAAGGGTAAGAAATGTTGATTGGTCACCGGAGAGGAACCCATATCATATTGTTCAGTCCTTAGTGGTGACCTAATTCTATCGATCATTATGAAACGTGGTCACAAGTCTAAGAGACTCATCATCGCAGTGCATTTTGATGGATGTTATAGTTTATTGGAGGCAATCAGCAGGAAGCTCTGCTCGACCTAGGTTTCCTGATTTGTTAGCACTTGTCAGTAAGGCGTATCTGCTACCTCGAGAGTAATGACGTTCCGCCTGAGATTCGAAACCACACCACCTAGTGCTGTAGTCAGCAATGTTACCGCTGAGCCATTCGGGTCTAGTATGTTATGTTTTATTGGCTTTTACATACTACTGGAAGCCTGTGGGTGCCCACACCATGGAAGTTGTTTCAGTAGAGTACTAAAAACAGAAAAATAAAAAGATTTGTGTGACCACACAAATCATGGGACATCTGCTTGCGACATGTCACAAAGAGCCTTATGAAGATTGATAGTTTGAGATTTGATTGTTCTAACGCTGGATAGGAAAAACCCATACAGCCAGAACTGGAGGAAAGTGGAGCAGGGAGAGAAGTGTTATGCTGCGGGTCGACATTTCCTAACCTTCTTTTTCTATAAGGAAGGCAGTATCAGCACATTTCTAATGGTCATCCGCAGAAACATCTTACTGCTGTCACATTTCAATCACTCAGCAGTACAACTTCGTCGTCAGATGTCATCATAGTGTAGCTTTTTGTTTTGCTACTATTTAACAGACTTTTCTAGTATGGCAGAATCTCACGGAGTAAAACGTTCCAGTCAATGTAGCTTGTTTGGACAACCACATCAAGGTAGCATCTATCGGTCAGGAAACAAAGATGGGAGCTTAAATTCAGTGATGACTAGTGCCTCAGAAAGTCTGGGTATACACCACTGACAGTTTCCACACGAAAGAGTTATATGACCCCTACCAATAATATTGTTACAAGGAATGAATATGCTTATCTGCTATTTGCAACTGCCAAAGTTTATAAGTGGATTTGCTTTCTTATCTATAGTCAGCTGAATGTATCTATACCCCAGTGAATGAGGCTGCTCCCACTAAGAGTCGAACCAAGTACCTATAGATTCAAACGCGAAAGCGTTACACTCACTAGGTCACTGGGGCACAACACCCACTTCTTGTGCAAAGAGTATCAGTTGTTGAATTTCTGTCTTGACAAGTAAATAGGTGATCAGATTAGTTCAACTGTACGGGGTGAATATCTCATATTTTCCTTATGAATTTAATCTTCTAATATAATATTAATTGAATTCATACGTTATCAATTGTTTCAGATAGATTTATGAAAGTAATGATCAACTGAATAGTGTTTTACACTTGAACTTACTGTTATCCATGTTTTCATCTTTTGTAGCATTTGTGGACTGAATATTAAATTTCGTAATCGAGCAAGTGGTCCTTCAGCATCAACTGAAACACAACGTCTAAAAACATCACAATAACCTCGATAATTATCACATGGAGCTCCAGGTGGCAATTTTGTACCATATCCATTACGTAAGAGTTCAACAACTAATTGCGGATATTTTGCTCTCAAGGTTGGATTCTATGAATAATATAAACAGATTGTAATCATCATTACAATAGTAATAATAATAAGTGAATTTAGCATACATCTACAGATTAGTGAACTAGACAACGAACCATATACCTATTAAGTGAGTTCAATGAGACAACCTGAATACCAAGACCACAGCAGAAAGAACTATACTGAAACCAATGACTTGATTGATTGAATTTAGAATGTCTAGTTTAGTAAACCACAATTCTACAAGAAATTATAATATGCTGAGCAAATTGAAATGTAGTTGATAGCCGTCACATATACTGAGTATTTCCAGAGGCTGTATACTGACAAAAAGGTTAATACAATTCACAACGTGAATGAATCAAATTGTCAGTCAGTCTAGAATTAAAGATTATCATATTAATTACTGAAAAGTATATGATATAGGTAGGCATGGTTGCGAAACCAAGTGTTATTGATTAGTGGTGATTATTAAAGGTGAAATGGAAAACTCATTAGCATCAGGCAGGCTTCCAGTCAGCAGCCAGCAAGTTACAGATATGCCACTCAACTAACTGAACTAATAGACCTAACTGTTGTTCACATCTTGATTGAATTTCAAACACCAAGGGTTTATATTGACTGTTATATGAATCCGTGACATGCAGCTGTTCATTCATCTTCATGACACCATTTACCCGAGACATATCTTCTAATGTAAATCAATGTAAATTAGACAGAAGGAGCACAGAACTGGCTACCGATAAGACTATTTGACATAGTCATGATATTTACATGAAGCTTGAGTGATGCCCTCAGGTCAGTAGAAATATACTGCAACTAAACTGGTAGGGTATCAGATGGGAATTATGCTGGTCACTGGCCTCAATCATGTAGCATCTCCTATTCCCATTCTACTATCCTGTTTCCATTGCCATATCACTTTGACTGGTTACTTGAAAAACTAATCTCACTTTATCAACTAGTTTTATCAAAGACAATAGGTATTCAGAAAATACAAGTGATCAGTCAATGGTGAACTTCTCTCATCTCCACAATGGTTAACATTTTGTTTACTATTGAATGGAGGCATAAAAGTGATATAGAATATGGTGCATTTATATACATATATATGTAGATCAGTCTCGGTTGATATTGTTAACATCAACAGATCAAGCTGAAATCTGGTGAAATAATACAAGGAAATAAAGGTCATAATGTTAATAGCCATTGAAATGTTAAGGGAAGAAACGAAAAGACAATGAAAGGAATTAGGGTGAGTTGATGACAATAGTTTAAAGGTTTTACATAAAGATGTAGCATGAAATTGTGCAAGTTGACACTACTAATTGAACAAGTTCATATAAAAGGTGGACATTTTTATAGAATAAAGAAATCTAGTTGGTATGATAATCAGCTTGAAAATGATTTAGTAATTTGACAGTCCAGCCCCGCCTGGTTAACTAGCTCACTAGTTACTAGACGGTCCTAAGCTCGGGTAAACAGCGAAGGTTAGGCATAGGACTACCAACCCTACCCCGTAAAACCAATCAGTCGCTACAGAAACTTCAAAGTATAGACAAAATATAAAAAAGAAAATAAACTAATTCCACGCTGGAATCGGAGACGAAATGACGCCGGTTGGTGAAAAGCTTCGGAAAGCCAATGGGCCGTTGTGTCTTTTCTCGATGAAGGCGAAAGTAAGGATGGGGACATGGAATGCCCGCACTATGTTCGAACCTAGCAAGGCTGCCTAGATTGCAAATGAGATGAAAAGGTATGGCATTGAAGTGCTAGGAATCTGAGAAAGCAGATGGAATGGAAGCGGGCTCTCCAAACTGTCAACTGGAGAGTCAGTAATCTACTCCGGTACTGTCACCCACACGACAATCACGAGCACACTGCGTGGTGCAGTGGCTATCATGATGTCTCCTTGAAGAGCATCGAAGGCTTTCATACAGTGGGAACCAATCTCCTCCAGGATCATAACAGCAAGGTTCAACTCAAAAGGAAGGAAAGTCACAATCGTACAATGCTACGCACCTATACAGATGAAGAGAAGAAGGAGGAATTCTACAGACAACTGCAATCAACACTGGACAAGACCTCGTCTCAGTTGGCGACATCAAAATTCTAATGGGCGACATGAATGCCAAACTGGGAGCAGACAACACAGGAAAAGAAGTAACCGTGGGTCGACAAGCGCTCGGTCAGGTGATGAACGAGAATGGAGAATTGTTTGCAGAATTCTGTGCATTCAACGATTTGGTGATTGCAATGAGGCAGTGTGTTCAAGCACAAGGATATCCACAAAGCGATATGGATTTCACCAGACACCAGGACACACTAAAAATCAGATCGACTTCATCTCAATCTCACGAAAGTGGCCACGCAGCCTACTTGACACAAGATCAAGAAGAAGGAGCAGATGTAGGTTCACACCGTTCACTGTCTAGTGCAGGGAACCTTCCAAATCAAGTTGAAAGCCTTCAAGGAAGTTGGTGATAGACAACAGTTCAAGTTCAACATCCAGAAACTGAAGGATGGAACTATAAGGGAAATCTTCGCGTCAGCCAGCCATCAGGACAAAATGGGAGATATCGAGCAACACCCCTGAAGAAACCTGTGTGGATGAACACTGGAGCTCTTTGAAAAAGACGTGGGAAGAAACCTATATAACTGTATAAGGAAGGAAGAAGATAAGGAATGGATCTCGATGGACACATGGAAGCTGATAGAGCTGGGGGAGGAGGATGGTAAAGCAGAAGATAAACCAGTGCAAGGATGAACAACGAAATGAGGAACTGAACACAACCTGTAAAACACTGGAAAAAGAAGTGAGGGAGAGTGCACGCAAAGACAAAAGACACTTCTAGGAAACACTGACAAGGGAAGCAGAACAGACTGCTGGTAGGAGAGACCTGACAACATTGTTTCAAATAACCACGTTACTATCTGGGAAGAGATCAATAGAGCACAGATGAAACCAATAAAAGATGATGAAGGAAATCTAATTACAAAAGAAGAGAAACAAAAGAAACGATGGGCCGACCACCTCCAAAAGCTCTTGAACCGACCACCACCTGCAGGACCAGATGGAATCCCGCTACAAGCACTGAGAACAGACGCAGGGACAACAGCAGACATGCTCATACCACTATTGCAGAAGGTCTGGAAGGAAGGAAAGGTACCCGCCTACTGATTGAAAGAAGGGCTACCTTGTCAACCTAGCAAAGAAGGGAGAGCTAAGTCTTTGCGAGAACTGGCGCGAAACCATGCTTCTGTACACCCCAAGCGAAATACTAAGCCGCATCGTCCTGGAGACACTAAACAGTGATCTGGGATCAAAATTACGACTGCAACCTTCCGGTTGGATTACAAGTAGTACAAATCATGTGCGGACCAAATTGCGACGCTACGCATCGTCATAGAACAGAGCATGGAATGCCAGTCAACTCAACTATACCTCAACTTCATCGACTTTGAAAAGGCCTTCGACAGCGTCGACCGACAAATGATTTCTCAAGCAACTGCTCCAACACTGTGGAATACTACAAACCTTTATCAACCTCATTCAACAGCTAGCTATATGAAGACGACACATGCCAAGTGATCCACAATGGGAAGCTCAGTGATGCTTTTGAAGTGAAGACAGGGGTAGAACAAGGTTGTCTACTATCACTGAAGATCTTCCAGATTGTGACCGACTGAGTCATGCAACAAACAGTGAAAGGGAGAAGAGGGGAATACGCTGGACCGCGGAAAAAAGATCCCAGAAGATTTGGATTTCTCCAGTGATGACTTGTGTCTAATGTCACACAATCTCGAAGATCTACAGGCGAAAACTAACAAGTTGACAGAAGAGGCAGGGCAGCGAATGGAGACGGGACTTCAAGTGAATGTAGAGAAGACAGATGTGATGATGATACCCAGCCAACACCACCAACAACAACAACAACAAGTCCCAATCACCATCAACAGCAGAAATTTTACGGAAGTAGCCTCTTTCACCTATCTAGATAGCACCGTTTCAACTACAGGCGGTACACACCAGAACGTCAAGGCGAGCCACCATCAGAAAGACAGCAAGACAGGCCTTCATTAACCTGAAACCAGTGTGGAGATCCACTTCACTGCACTCAGCATGAAGCGTGAACAACATTCGGATTTTCAACATCAACGTCAAGTCAGTGCTTCTATATGATGGTTGAGAGACTTGGTGCATTACGAAAAGCATTTTCAACAAACTACAGATATTCACCAACAACTGCCTATGCTGGCTCCATACTGAAGCTCAGATGGCCAGAATAATAAGAATAAGCAACAAGGAACTCTGGCTGGCTGGCAACGAACCAACGAAGCAAGAACCTATCGCTCAACAAATATGCAGAAGAAAGTGTAGATGGATTGGACATGCACTGAGAAGACCATTCAGGGACATCACGCGCCAGATACTCGAGTGGAACCTGAATGGGAAACGAGTTGGGCGTTCGAGGCGAGGGTGACATGAAGGAGATCGTGTGAGGAATAAATGAGAGCTTGTGGGCTGTCGTGGAGTCAGGTTCAAAAGATTTCAGAGAACTGCAGAGTGTAATGGAGACGTGCCACTGAAGCCCTATGTTCCACTAGGATCCCAAAGGACAAATAATAATGATATAATGATAACGATTTGACAGTCCATGTTTACTTTTTTCACAGTTGAGTAGTTTTTCCATTGTCTAACTATGGTGATATCAACAGCGAACATCACAAGATGTTATCTCTGACAGAAAAGTATCATCAGCTAGTGAAACGTACCACTGAATAACTTGTGTAGTGAGGCACCACTCAGGTTTAACTGTAGATTTCGTTAACCAGATCATTAGACAGTCGTTTAGCTCGTTTTACGTCAGGCTGATAAGCGGTGTGCTCAGAGGGTGGAGTTTTTCAGAACACGTGAATCTAGCCAGTTGGCTCGCTCAAAATGAGCGAATCGACCGAACGGTGTTTAGATTATTATTATTATTATTTATCCCTTGGGTTCCTAGTGGAAAACACCG